CCCAAAACCCCAAAACCCCAAAACCCCAAAACCCCAAAACCCCAAGAGGTATAATCTATATTGAAATAATAAATAACCTCTGCATTATGCCACCCAGAAAGTGAGAATTAGTCTTTACTGATTGTAGAGGAAGTATTTTAGACAAGCATAGTTTAATCCATAGAGAAATGATTGTAGCTTATGTCCAAGACTCTTTCCTTCTTCTTAAACCTCTTGAAAGCTGACTTTCCAACCATAGGGCAGGCAGCTAGGTCAGCAGAGTACTGTTTTTGGGCTATTTTGACTTTCCAGATATCTTCGATTGCATTGTCTTTAGAAATGAATGATTTTGTAAGATTCGACTCTAGTATCTGCTCATCTGATAGAATTCCAGATTTTAAAAAATACCTGAATGTTAGCATCATATCTGGAATGTTTTGCTCAAATGTCTGCTTCGCTCTCAGCAAGAGTTTTACCCCATCTCTGAATCTGTCAATTATAGCCTTCTCTCTTGTAAATTTTTTTATGAGGAAATTGTACTGTTTCTTATTTGGGCTAAGAGAAGCAATCAAGTGATCTATCTGTGTCAGATTATGTTCTTCTTGAAATTCGATGCGCTGAGAAGTGGTACGTTTCAAATATTTTTGAATAACTTCAAAGCTCTTTATTGGAGTATCGTCCAAATCTCCAAGATACTTCATCTTGAACCCAGGAAAAGGGTTGTTTATCAATGACTCAAATGTAGTATCCAAAAAATTACGGTGGTCAGATATCAACTTCGGTAGAACATCTTCAAAATCTTCATGAATAGGCACTTGACTCTTCATCCCAATTTCTGATGTATCCAAGTTCATAATCCTTCTTACAGATTGCTCTTTCATACTTCTAGAAGATTCAATAAACTTATATGAATCCTTGTTAGCTACCTTCAATTTGTCATTTCTATATGATACTAGTAAGTTCTGGAGCCTGAAATTTTCGGCTTCAAGCTTCTCAATCTTAGCTTCAAGTTGTTCTATATAAACCTTCTTGCGTGCTCTCGATTTTCTTGATCTTATCTTGCCTTTCTCTCGTTTAGAATTGATATCAATTTTATTTTCAATTGAAGGGATGACGCTCTAATATAAATTTAGGTTTTAAAACTACTAACCTCATTATTATCTGATTCCTCCTCGCACTCTTCTAGTACTATTTGCTGTTGTTTCTTATCATCGATTTCTTGTAGTTCAGACACTAGAAAAGATGTTCGCATTAGTTCTGTTATTTACCACTTACTTTGAAAAACACTTAAAGGATTTTGGAGCCCAGACATTGTCGCCTCCTGGTAAATATCAATCTTCTTTCCAGATTTATCAAAAAGTGATATTTTGTCTTCCATATTTATATAAAAATTCCAATTCCTCTCTATTATCTCGGGGTTTTGGGGTTTTGGGGTTTTGGGGTTTTGGGG